AGCCCTAGTAACAAAAAACAACAACAACAGATTACTAGGAATGTTCTGGATTAAATTAAGATGTTCACGACAATTAGTGATGAAATAAATGGGACTTCAGGCCATGCCAGAAATACTGAATTTGCATATACCAAAATACATGGCATCCTTTCTGTATGTGAAGATATTACAGGAAAATGTATTCTGCAGTTAATGAGCTCTCTTGATTTTGTGTTGTGTTAACGGTGAGATAAGTATTGAAGATGGCTGAAGTAGTTTCCACACAGTTTAAAAACTTCTCTTTCCGTACTTCTAATCCTTTTTTGAATGTTAATTGACATGATGAAGCAACACAGTTCTGTATTAGTGATGCAAGGGATTTTGTCCATTTATTATTTGCCTGAGGTAAGGTTTGTTGTAGCTGTATCAAATGGGTTTTATTCTGTTAATTGTATATCTTGCACTCTGAGATTTGACCTTGGCCTCCAACTAATATTTTTTAAAGCATCCTAATCAAGGGTTGTTTTAACATGAGTTCAGCATGCTTCCATTATATAGTGGGAAACTATTTAATTTAGTACCTTTCTTAATTATATAATTGAGATTTTTTTTTAAATGAGGAGGTATATGCAAATGAGACCATAATATTTTGACAAACTTCTCCATACTCAGTAGTGTCATACCACTTTCTTAGACTGTTGATATTCTCCATGCCTGAGATACATCCATGTAGCTCATTTGAAGCTGAACAATTGTAGGTCAGGAGCAGCTTGTGCTGGAGGCTGTGCCAGGAATTTGGTCTAAGTAAGTTTGGGAGGGGTAGGTATCAAGGTAGACTGGCAGGTCTGCTGGGGTGTGGGTTGGAAGGGGGTTGTCCATCTGGGGGTCAAGGAGCTAAAAATAGCCCAGTCAAGGTAGCCTCCCCATACAGCTCAACAGATCAGCACTTAGATTGACCTAACTCTAGCTAAGTCAAACTAAGTGACAGAATCTTTGCATAGCTTAAGAGACTAGCAAAAGAAGTTCTTTTATTGCCCCCAATAGTACCAATCTTGAGCTTAAGTTGCAAGAAGGTGTACACAGAAGCTTATGTGAAAGTTGCACCATTATGAATGAGAGCTCTGTAGAAAAGAACAGCAGATTCAGATAATTTATGGTAAAGAACTGACTGGCCTGTTTAGCAACCAGCCAGACCAATGTAATTGAATAATCTACCAAAGTACCCTTTTCTTGCAAGAGATTCAAGTGTTTTAACAAGGCTTTTTAAACAAGACTTTTTTTTTTTTTTATCATCTGAATTGGGTGATTACTGCCTTTAATCAAATATATGACCCTGAGTGTAAGATGACCTCTCGGTAAGTAGATTCTGTATATGAAAAATTGTTTACATTTTGTTATAGTTTTCCAGGTACAGAATCTAAGTATTGGAGGGTTGTCTTAAATTCCCCCCACAGTTGCAGGGGGAAACAGTAGCTGAGAGGGTCAAGTGCTTCCTTTCCCCTCTGCCCTTCCCATGGTAATCCATCTAAGAAAATATTTTTAAATGTTATACAGGCACTAAATTAGCTTAAGTTTTTAGTTCAGTATGGCTGCTTCTCAAGGGGGGGAAAAATAAATCTCCGTACGTGAAAATTTGGAATCCTGAGAAAGCTGACACGTGTTGATAGGGTGACGATAATTTGGATTTTGGGGAGCACTGGATTTGCAGCTGAATACCGGACTTTAATCTGTGTCCCAGCAAAAGCTGCTGGTCACAAGGCAGGATGATATATTAAGAATAACCTTGCAAATGCTTAGGCAAGCAGTTTTCTAAATGAAGTCATAGTATTAGAGCCCATTATGTAAGAAGAACAAGATGCAGCTATTGTCAGGAGAGAACAGAAGCAAGGCCTTGGAGATGGTGCTGAAGTCAGCAATGAACCAGCAAGTGACCAAAAGAAGCTTGCACTGTTAGCAGAGGCATGTAAATGAAGGAAATGCATAGGCAATTTCATGTTAATGAACTAAACAGTAAACAAAGGTGAAGCTTGAGATGGGAGGAGAAATGGGTGGAACAGGAAAAGGGACAGGTGGAGTGAATGTTGATGAGAATGTTAAGGTGTATAAAATGTGAAAAGAACTAATGTTCACTGCTGCTTCCCATGTTCGCAGGCTGTGTCTCTGTGAGGGAGCTTGCCTGAAGCGGTCTCCATTTTTAATAAAGCCATTGCAAGCAATGTGTGCAAGTAGTGTTTGCTCCCTGCTTGTTCTGGCTAATGAGTAACAGGATCCATAAGCAATTGGGTCATTGTCTCCTGGGTGCCGCCGGGGTCTAACGCATGTGACCAAGTTTCTTGGAATATGTGTGTGATTCTTTTGGCCCTTATTTACATGCTGAGATCATGAGGATGTTCTCAGTTGTAACTTTTTAATGAATGATTGTTTAGTTAAAATAGGATAGTTATGCTAGGATTGTTATAGGAAGACTGCCATTAGACCTGTGTTAAGAGTAGTCTTATTGCAGACTAACAAGTAAATATTGTACATGAAACAGTGGTTCCTTACTTGGCTGCTGCACCCCAAGTTTTCAAAACCTTTGAGACTTGCCTATAATAGGAGCATACTTACAAATTCTTTCCTGCTTTACCAATATTAGCCTGTGTAGGTGTGGCTTAGGCTGCTGACATAGTTACCAGTGCAATGTTATCTAAACCTATTGAGAGCAGTCTAAGTGACATGGTGTTACTCACATTCTAAACTAACTTTTTTTCATTTAATGCTCATGTTTCAAAGTGCATACCTCTGAGGACAGTTTCAGCCTATAAGTTGAAAGATGTTTAAATGTATTTTTTTTGGTCACTTAGCAATGTGACCTCTGCAAGTTCACATTGGAAAAAGCATTTCATTGATGTAAAATCAGGCTGTTGCATTTGGAAGAGAGTTTTCCGGTGCTAGCCTGTCAATTATCTTTTATATGGGGAGTAATAAAATCAGCCAGCCAGGCTAGTGTTTAAAAAAAAAAAAAA